GGGCAGGGAATCTCCCCATGACAGATGCTGATGAGGGAGATAGGCTCTTTAATGGATTCAGTACAAAATGCTCAAGAAGTCTGACAGGCTGACAGACATAAATCACTCAGCAAATATTCTAGGAATGATGCTTATGCATGGCAAAAAGTCATATGGGGTCCTTGGTAGTCTCTGACTGCTTTGTAGTAAGAACAGAAAACTTTTACCAGGTTCTGGGATAAGGGCAAATCAACTTGAAGACAGTGGGCTTGGTTTTCTTGGTTGGGATAGGTGCTTAGAACTAACATGCTTTATCTCATTGAATAATCATAACAACTCCAAGAGGTAGGCATCATTATTTTCATCCTATGTTACAGATGACAAAACTCAGGTTCAGTGAGAGAAAATATAAGGGATCCACTCAAGTTCACATGTGAGTAAAAGGCATATCTGGGATTTGAACCTGATATCCTTAGTGCTACACTATTATTTTCTGCATTAAGTTCATTTGCAGATATAATTTAAATGTTTGTTAAAATTCTTTTACTTGAAAATACACTTTTCCCGAAAGTATAAAAATATAATATATAACCTTCCCAAGGTTGCATAACTAGAAGCCTAGGTTGGCTCTGAACCGAGGGCTGTCTGACAGCAAACCTGCTCTGTGGGCCCTCTGGCAGTGAAATATGCCTCCCTGTGTTTCTACACAGTATCCACATGCACAGACATGAAGCATGCCTACCTGGCAAGCTTCTTTTTAAATATTCCTTTTTTTACAAGTTGCACAATCTAAATGATTCTCACAGAGCAGTGCTGACTAGGCCTATTCATTAGATATCTCCTTGTGAATCACATAAACACCAAGGACAGAGCATGTTCTTTGCCCCACCTAATGAAAGAGGAGGTGCAGGACACAGTTGGGGGCCGTTTCCTATTGCAATAATGTCTTCTTTCTCAAAACACAGACTCCTGAGGAACTCTAAGAAAATGAGAATGAGGTTCTAGAGAGGAGGTCACTGTGAATAGCAGCTGAACTCTTTTATTGGGTTCAGTAGTCAGAATAGTCAGAATTCCTTTTTTTGAATCAGAGAGGTTC